GAAAGAGACGCACACATACATCGCTAATAGGGACATAAACTTGTACAACCTCTAGCAATCTCAGATATCCATAAAACAGGACATTCTCTTTGACTCAGCAATTCTAATCCTGGGAAATTATCCAACAGAGACAGCCACATATGTGCTAAGGGAGAGGTGTACGAGGTTATTCACCAAAGCATTTACTTACCAAAAGACTCATGTACATATTCCATATTCCATATATACATATAGCATTTCATCTTATATCTGTTCCCTAATAATTTAAGGTGGTCCCTACCGACTGACACATATATGTGTGTCATACTCATGTAATATATATGACATATATGTCAATCAATAGGGAGCAGCTTACATTATTATGGAACAAACATAAGATGGAATACGATGCATCAGTATAAAAGACTGATGAAGCGGTTAGATGAACTGAGATGGAATAATCTCCAAACTAAGTTAGACAAAAAGCAAAGTCCAAAACAGTATGTGACATATGTTATCATTTGGTTAAAGACAGGGAGGGGAGGATTTGTGTCTATATATTGCTTGTAGGTACATACAATTTTCTTATAGAGCCTTCATGTTTTAATCACATGAATGTATTACTGATTCAAGTAATTAGCTGTATTTAAGCTCTTTTAAAAAAATCGTAAAAGTCTATTCTGCAAAGGACCAAAGTTGCAGAAAATAATTATACAGAACAAGTCATATGCAATTACTATTACATATTAAATATTTTAATGTAGATGTAATCACCCCAACATTTACTATTCACCACTTTTAAAAAAAATTTTATTGAATACTCACCACTTCTTAAAAACTCTGTGTTCATACATATATATAACAAAGTATTGATGGCAGATTTATTACATACCATGATTAAATATATAATTAAATCATTTAAACCAAGGGTCAGCAAACTACAGTCTAAGGGACAAATCCAGCCCACCACCTGTTTTTGTAAATAAAATTTTATTGGAATACAGCCATGTTCATTCATTTATGTATCGTCTCTAGCTACTTTCATTACAAGAACAGAGTTGAGCTGTTACATCTGAGACCACATACCCCATAAAGCCTACAACATTTTCTATTGTCCTTTATGGAAAAAGTTTACTGACCCCTGGTCTAGCCCAGAGACAGCAGTTCCCACTCAGAACTACTTTTACTGATTTTAAATCACTTATGATAAAATATTTTTCCATAGTTATACAGTAACCCATCTTTCAGTGTTTTGTTGTGATAACACGTAAACCACAGTAACTCATTTTTATTCTCCCAAAGACATGATGTTGACATGAAATTTTATGCTAGTTCTTCTTTATCTACTAGTTTTTCAGTAGTAGTAGAAACAACCCTTTTAAAGTCAGTGAGAAGCCTGGTAAATGTTGAGAAGAAAGAGCACGCGCACGCGCGTGTGTGTGTGTGGGGTGCGCTCACGCACATGGCACTGGGAAAGGTGTGCATATAAATGCTAGCTGCCCTCGGAGGCACCCCTCCACATATGGAAAACAATATGTTTGAGAAATTATCCCAAGTCACATTCCCTAAACAGACAGTAGAAACGGCAGTACCAATTCCAGAGAAGCTTTATGGACAATGTTTCTAGAAGGGCTTGTACCTCCTTGAACAGCTTTGCTGGCACTGCCACAGCTTTTTCCTCTTCCAGGTAGGACGCCCAGCACCAAGCTTTCTTTCCTTTAGGAGGCAAACCTGAAAAGCGAATGAAACTAAAATGACAGAATTTCCAAATCTAAGAAATCAGAGTGGTACACTATGAACTCTCACTTCCCTAACTATCCCCAGGCCTGGCTCTTCTCTTACTTTCACGGCTGGTATTTCTCAATCTCTTTTCCTGGCTCCTCTTCCAAAGAAATGAGAGGCAACAAGTGAACTGTGTGTATATCCAGGTATGAGTGTAGAGAAAAGAAGCAGAAGAACTTAAGGTTAATGAAGAAGATGTAGCAGGAGGCCAAGAAAGAACAGTACTGTGGAAGCTACAGCAAGTAAGAGCTTCTACTAGGAGCAGGATGCTCACAATTTTTTCCTAAGGAATCAAGAAGTGGAGGACTGAGAAAAGGTCAGTGCCGTGAGTGGTTAGGGACTGACTGCTAATCTTTCTCCAGGATTAAAAAAAAAAAAAGGGGAAAAAAAAAAAAATCAAGGTGCCAAAGGCCAAATTGAAGTCGCAAAAGAAGACAGAAATGATAAACATATGGAGTCAGCTAATATCAATTTTATTTGGGATTAAAACGAAAATGAAAGAAAGGGTATAAGAGCTTGATGGGTATTAAAATTGGGGGAATGGTATTTTGCGGATGAGATTGCAACAGGCAATGATGAAGCTCATGAAGAGGAAACAAAACTGGAACACCTAAGAGGGGGAAATGACTGAAGGAACAAGGTTGCAGAAGGGCCAGAGCCCTGAGAGTAGAAATGAAGGGGAAGGGAGAGTCAGGATAAAGACACTTTTGAGGCAGAGTGCAGAGTAACTGAGAATTTACTCCCTTTAATTTCAGTGACATAAGATAGAAGGTCATCTCCCCCAAAATGTAAAAGTCAGGCTGTGTGCTTGAGGCAGGTAGAAATATCTCAAATTCTTTTTGAGGAATTAAGAGCTGAATGAGCGAGGAATGCAGCCAAACCCAGAAGAGGAGCGCTGGGTTCAGGCCTTGATTTGCAGGGACAATGTGACTGGCAGGTCAGAACGGGACTGTGCAAAGTACAGTGACCTAACGTGGAGGACCGGCCAGGCAATTGTGGCAGGTCCTTCCTTTGGATACAGCCTAGTGGGGCACACGGAGGCTTCTATGGAGATGACCCAAGGTCCACGATGAATAAGGCAGCAAGTTCATCCACCAAGTACTGAAGGGCAGGGCCTCATGAGCATAAAGGACTAGATTCCTCATGAGAATAAAGTGTTCCGTGAGGAACAAAGGAAAAAAAAGGTACCAGGTCAGGAGGTCATGGCTGAGAGGAAACTTTAAAAATCTACAACCTTAGGAAATGAATAAGAACAGAGGTTTTAGTCAAAGTGCGTAAGTAAAAGATACCTACTGGATGGAAACATAAATAATAGAAAGTGGTCTCAAGTTTGCCCTGACACTACTCAAAAGTTGCTAATCTCCACTTTTCCCCCTTATCTACTTCTTCTAAACTCTAATTTTTATTGACACAATTTAATCAAAGAAAACCCCCAAACGATCCTTTAACTGCCATAGTGTGCATTACAATTAAGACTAAAACGTCTACCTGTGTGAAATATTTTCAGCTTCATAAAGTTACAAATAAAACCTTCCTTTCACCAACTCACCCTGCTTTAATACAGCCGAATCACCTCGCCTTTTCCTTCGGGCTCTCTGCGAACCCCTCAGGATTCTTCCATCTTGTTTGTTTTCCTACAATAAGGAAGAAAAGTTTATGATTTTAAAAAGTTCATGAAATTGGCACCAAAGAAAAGTTAGAGAGCTGTCAGAAAGCATTATTTTTTTTTGGACTCTTCTTCAATTTCACTTCATAACTTTTAAAAGAAAGTAAGAATATGGGTCACTTGAGAACTGTGCTGCTTTTGGCCTGAGGTCCTTACAAAATAAGAACATTTCCAAGAATTACACTCTGTTATAGTACAGATACAGCTCCCACCTCCTTGAAACACTTTCTTCTTTCAGCTCCTGGACCACTCTGTTCTGGCTTCCCTCATACCTCACTGGCCCCTCTTTCGCAGTCCCTCTGCTGACATCTCCTGCAACCTAATCCCCTTCTCTTCTTTATCTAATCATTCTCCCTAGGTTTTAAAGATCATCTGTCTGCCGAACATCCCTCATCCATATCTCTAGCCCTGACCTCTTTCCTGGCTCCACATTCATGTATCCAGATGCCTACTTGGGATCTTCGCTCGGATGTCCAATAAGAATCTCAAAGTCACGACGGCCAAAGGACTCTAGATTCTATACTCCACTCTGGCCTCCCCATTCTCAAGTAATGGCATGATTAGCCAGTCAATAGCTCAAGCCAAAAAGCTAAGAATTATCTCTGATTCTTCTCTTTCCC